GTATCTCATGGATCATCCGAATCTAAATATGAGGCAACGTAGATGGCTTGACGTGGTCAAGGATTATGTTTGCGAGATTCTTTATCACCCAAGGAAAACGAATGTAGTCGCTGATGCGTTGAGCTGCAAGTCAGCTAGTTCTTATATTAGGAGCATGTGTTTGAGGATTTCTATCGATTTTCCGCTTCTGGATTTGATTAGGGAGGCTCAGGCCGAAGGAGTTAAGAAGGAAAACTAGAAGCAGGAGAGAATCAAGGGTGAAGTTGATATGTTTTCTACTGATATTCGCGGATTGTTGACCCGGTGCGGTCAGGTTTGGGTACCAGACTTTGGCAGGGTCAGGTAGACTGTATTGGAGGAGGCGTATAAGTCTAGATTTTTGATACACCTCATAGCCACTAAGATGTATCGATATTTGAGACTTAGTTACTAGTGGTCGTGCATGAAGAGGGAGATAGCCTGGTATATTGAGAGGTGCATGACTTGTCGGATGGTCAAGGTCGAGCACCAGAGGCCGCACAACAAGCTTTAGCCTTTGGAGGTTCCCACGTGGAAATGGGAACATATCACCATGGATTTCATCACCACTTTACCTCGGAGGGCTAAGGGATTTGATGCAATATGGGTTATTGTGGACTGTCTGACCAAGAGTGCCCACTTTCTAGCTATTCGGGAAAGATCCTCTGCCTAGAAATTTCCCGATGTGTATGTGCGCGATATCGTCGATCGTTATGGTGTTCCAGTTTCCATTGTATCTGATCGAGATGTTCGGTTCACTTATCGATTTGGCAGAGATTCCATGAGGAACTAGGTACAAAATTTCATTTTAGCACTTCTTATCATCCGCAGACTGACGGCCAGCTATCACTCCAGTATCAGTACACTGCCATTTGAGCTTCTTTATGAGAGGAGGTTACGTAGCCTAGTTTGTTAGGTAGAGTTTGGTCACAGGGCCATGGGAAGGACCGAGGTAGCCCTTCAGACGACAGAGCTTATCTAGCAGATCCGGAAGAGGTTGCAGACAACTCAAAGTCGGCAGATGCTGACAGGCGTCGATCCGAGTTGGAGTTCCAGGTCGGCGACATGGTTTTAGTAAGTGTATCACCCTAAAAGGGTGTAATATGCTTCAGGAAGAGGGGAAAAATTGGGGCCCTGATATATCAGGCCGTTTCGAGTGATCGCCAGGGTAGGCAGGGTAGCCTATCAGTTGGATCTGCCTGAGGATCTCAGACAGATCCACAACACCTTTCATGTTTCTTAGCTACGAAAGTGTGTATTTGATGATTCGGCACTGGTTCCATTGGATGATATTAAGTTCGATGATCATCTAAACTATATTGAGAGACCAGTGGCGATTCTAGATAGGAAGTCGAAGACCTTGCGTAACAAGGTGGTATCATTGGTCAAGGTTCAGTGGCAACATCAGAAGGGTTCCGAATGGATTTGGGAACCTGAGGCTGAGATGCGGGAGCACTAGCCTGAGTTATTCGCAGCATCGGACTTCGAGGACGAAGTCTAAATCAAGTGGGAGAGAATTGCAACATTTGAATCCCGAGGTAATTCAATTTCCAATTTGCCACAACGTGGGAAAGGCACCACGATGCGACGCTTCAAGAAAAACCACAGATTAATTTAAGGCCGCCACAGCGTGGTAGTATATGGCCACGGCATGGCAGCTGGCGAATGACAAAACCCTAGTTTCGGGTTTTGCTCCCTATTTAAAGGAATTGAGAGGCTAAGGTTTGCTCACCCTCAGCCTCAATCATCCTCTTTGAGATTTTGAAAACCCTAATCCCCTACTCATTTGTTTAAACCTTGTTTTGGTGCTTTTTGAAGCCATTGAAGAAAAGAAGAATAAGAAGTGAGCTTAGAATCTGCAAACAAGCCATCATCCTTTGTTGTAAGAACCTTTTGGACCCTTATAAATATCCAAGACTCGATTTTTATCATGATAGGTAATTAGATCTTGAGTTTTGTCCCTAAATCTTCATGTTCTTGATTATTGAGTAGTGAGATCTCATAAAGTTTGCAACTTTATGAATCTCCGGGCAAATTAGGGCCTTTGATGCTTTGGATCTGGAGTAATATTGAGTTTTGGTATCATGCATGGGAGTTTTGGTCAAAAACCCTCATTTTGACCTAATAAAGTCCAAGACATGCAATGCATGTATGGAAAGTAAGGGTTTTTATGTTGTTATGTAATGTTAGAAACGTTTCTGGAAGTGTGGAACTAGAAGTCTTCATAATTTAATTCTTAATGAGTTAATCCAAGTTATGTTTTGCTCTTTCAAGAACTAGAAAATAAGATCTCTATCTCTTACAGGGTCTAAAGGGATAAATTGGAAGCTTTATCCACTTGGACCTTTAGATGGACTAGATCTGGGCTTTAGAGCCCTTAGGGTCAAAGAAATCGACTTAATATGTTAAGCTTTTGGGAGCCCAGTGCCCACGGCGTGGCCTAGGCTGCCAGGACATGGCGACTGGGTTAAATCTGTTTGTTTTTGCGATTGTGACCACGACGTGGCCAAGGAAGGCCACGACGTGGCGACCAACTGAAGTTGACTTTGACATTGACCGTTGACCATTGACTTTAACCAAGTTTGACTTTAGGTCATTTGGGGTATTTTGTATAGGTGATCAGTAGACGCAGTATTTGGAGCAGTGATTCGTTCAACTATCTTTTCAGACTGTGAGGTGAGTTTTTCCCTCACTATACTCGTGGGTCGAAGGCACCAATGCCATCCCGGTAAATTATGTACCCTGGTTTAGGATGTTGTTATGCTGTAGTGATCTGTTAAGATTTGTATCTTTATATGTTGTTGTGATATGATTATCTGTTGCATATGTTGACATAGTGCGGATGGGTTGAGGCCAAGGTTTTAAATAACGTAAGGTGTGACTTGGCGGCAATGTCAAGCCTCAAGCTTTTCCAAGCCTTGGCAAGCCACGTCGTTTTTAAGGCGTGACTTAAGGCGGCAATTTGTATATAATTAATATTTTTATATGTATTTTCAACTATTATTCATTTTTATAAACATATATGAGTTAATGTGGCATTTTGGTAAAGCTTGGCGGTAAGTACAAGCCTTGGAGCCATGGCACGCCATGGTGGAGCCATGATAAGCTTTTTAGAACCTTGTTAAGGCATTACAACTCTATGAGGAAGCCAACAAACCAAAGAGCAATCCAGACATAAGTTATGGGCCAAGAAGGCAAGCCAAACTTATGTTGTGGGCTTGGGAGCAATCCAAACATGAGTTGTGGGCCTGAAAGCCAAGAGAGACTCATGTTGTGGGCTCAGGGGTAATCCAGTCTGATGACTGTGGACACAACATGCATACTATTATTTTTTATGTGTGGTGGTATTTTGGGGGAAATTCACTAAGCTTTGGCTTACAGTTTAAGTGTTACGTTTCAGGTACTTCAGATGATCGGGGCAAGGCGAATACTTGATCGTACACATCCTTCCATGACATGTTTTGGAGAATTTATGATACATTGGTTTTTTTGGGATATTTGTATTTGATACTTGGTTTCTTATCACCTGGGTTTTTGATTGAAACAATGGTTTTACTTAATTGAAAAATAAAAAAAATTTATCATGAATTTGGGACGTTACAAAATTTCTCTACTCTTGTTCGATATATACTTTCAAAGTGTTTAATGTCACAGTTTTTCAATCTAATGTCTTATTTCATGCGCTAAATTGTATATGATTCTCATTCACTGTATTTGTTTAATTTTTTTGTTAGATTTAAGTAAAAAAAGTCACTTGAAATTTCGAAACTGTTCATCGGATTTCGGATTTGTTCTTGAAATTTCAGAGTTTTTGAGATAACCAGTAGTTGTATGTTGCACTGTTAGAGTTAAAATCAAAGATGAATTAAAAATATTAATTTTAGACAATGACGATAAATTTAGCAATAAGACATCTAATATTGTATTTAAAGAAGTCTTTGAAAATTGTAAATAGTTTTCTTTTAATAGTATAGATTGAATTACTTACTTATTCATCATTTCCGTCGTAATTATTTCAAAATTTTACTTTAATTTTTTTTTTAATGTTTAGATATTTATATTTAATTTTTTTTAATTAATCCGTATACTACAAGGGTCTTACACCTAATATATATATATATATATATATATATATATATATATATATATATATATAGAGAGAGAGAGAGAGAGAGAGAGAGAGAGAGAGAGAGAGAGAGAGAGAGAGAGAGAGAGAGAGAGAGAGAGAGAGAGAGAGAGAGAGAGAGAGAGAGAGAGAGAGGTTTAGATGACGTCTACATTGGTCTACATTAGCAGCTCATATCTCACTTGAGCCGATAGCCACCAACTAATGTATTGTATTGTGCTTAAAGGTACATTATTATCAGGATATTTTCATCTAAAGAACGTCTTTTCAGTTATTGGCCTTCTGCAAATGTACCAAATATTGATCATTAGCCTCAACAAATAAAGCCTTCAACTACTAGTTAATTTTGTTCAGCGCAAAATAAAAAAATATTCTAGGTTTTACATGATGTTTTCCATTAGCCAAATCTATGACTCGTAATATAATTTCTAGCTTAAATAGTTATGAGTTGTGTATCCCTTTGATCATATGTATCTTCGGATTGATGTTTAGGTTCTCATCGCCATGTTCATCAATAAATCGCCATTAAGGTTTTATCTAATGCCATGATGTTTGATATTTGGCCATTGATGGATAAGTCGATGTTGATTATTATATTCAATATGTATTTTCTTCAGTAGTTGATGTACTTTCATTACAATTACAACAAATATAGTAATTAAGTATCAAAATAGTGTTTGTCATCATCTAAATCATAATATTTCTTTACAAATGTTGTCATATAGATTTCATGATAATACTCTTAAAAGAAGTACATGATATCTAAGAGATTCATGCAACATCTTATTTTTCACAAAATACCAAAAATCACATAAAAACAATTATACATTTATTCAAACACAAAACTAAAATCATACATTTGCTAGGGCTTAGTGTCCACTTATAAGATACAAGAAAACTTATTTAACAATGAATGAAAGAGAACATAATGGAACTTAGATAATTAACATGTGGTACTACATTAATAAAGTACTAAAACCGAATTGAAAATGATGTAGCAATGATCTTGGAAATCATGTTCTTTCCTCGTGTCCAATGACGTAAACGCGTAACAGTGACATATGAACATATACGGTGCTAATTAAAGACTTGCGATTATAGATTTTACAGCCTCGTCTGCGATGATGTAATACATGTTTTCTGTAAAATGAACGGCATCCCAATAAATGTATTTCGAATGATTCGTACATGTATTCAGCCCCTTTAAACTTGTCCCGAACTCTGTTAATCCATCTCCACAACAACCTTTTTCAGTTTCAGTAAAACCTGTCAATTTCATTTTGACCAAAAACATTTTTCAAAAATTTCTCATGATTCTATGTACTGAACTTAATAAATAATAAATCCAATTAATAAATAATAAATCCAAGATGATTTTACATGTCATTTTTTTTATACTTAATGATTTTTAAATATAAATTTACTTTTACTTAGAAATCGTGTAATGTTTTCTATTCAAACATTATTAAAAATTAGTTGTTATTATTATACTCTAATCTAGATATTATAGGAAAATTTTATATGTATCCCTTATATTGCTTTGTGTACCACACTTTGTGAGTAGAATAACATGTTTACCTATGATTTGATAATTTATATGAATTAGGGAAGATACGTTATAATAATAGCCATATTATATTGTGTCTTAAGATTAAATATATAATCTATTTGCATTTAATAAAGTTCTATATATGAACACTCTTTATTATTTAGTTGTAATTAACAATATTTTTTCCGATAATAATAATTTATTGGTAAACCATTTTTTCTATTTGTAACTATCTAATTATATAAAGACTATATGTAACTTTACGTCTCAAAATAATCTATGACAAACCAATGAAGGTAACTTCATTCGGCTTATCCTTTCAATCATTAGTTATCGTGTTTGGCTTTTCCTTTTGAATTGAATTGGCGAGAATTTATATAAAAGGGCACCGTGCCTCGAAAGGAGTTAGCTAGAAACAGACAAAAAAAAAATATGTCGTAAACACTAAAAATGTGTTCCATTTTGTCAATGTTGAAGTTTATAGTTTATAAACTTTTGGAACATCAAATTCAAACTATTGAAAATTCCACGATGAACGTAATTTTGTTTATTATTACTACGTCTCGATCGTAGAAACAAGTCCAACTAAGTTCTCTCGTGTATTTTCTCGACAAAAAATGAAAGTCTTCATGCATGTTTCAGAGAGCATGAATCTTTGCAGATGTAGAAATAGGCACTTACCATATTTTAATGGGTTTTGTAAGGTGTTTTGAATGACACCATAAATGTCAACGAAGACACTTCTCATCCGTAATGTTGCTTCGAGTGATGACAACTTTGCTTTCAACAAAAAGTTGAAAGAGAGAGCCACTTGGTTCATATTTTCATCGCATTTAACACTATTCTTTAATGTCTTTATCATAGGCATACATCCAAATGGCTCCATCCCAACAACCGCCAATCTCCTTACTCCTAATAAATGCATTTCCTATAATTTTATTATACAGAAGAAAACCCTATAAGTGTTACACAAACTAATAAGCATGTAATTTGATATGACTCATGTACATGGTATGTCGTAATATTTTCCTAAAACATCATATCATGAATCTGAATCTCCATTTTACTTGTAACTATCTAAAAAAATTAATCAATTAGTGTCGATCACTTAAATTTTCCTTCCCTTTAATCAAATGTTAAAAATAGAAAGAGATTGATGTTTTACCTTTATTGAAGTTTCCATGCAATTGATCAAGAAACGTTGGTATTGCGCGATGGTAAACCTATGGGATCGAGTAGGATCAATGTAGTAATTTTGTAAAAAGTCATTTGTACCTGTGCTCAAAATGAACACAGCATTACCCACAATCCTATGACAAGTTTCTTCTCCAACAAGCTTCCCTAAACGAATCTTATACTCCTTAAAGTACTCCAATTGCTTTCGAAGAGATATAACATTCTACATGGAGAAAATAAAATGATCAGTTTTAACATCAATCCATTAATTTTTCTATGGAAATGGTAATTATAATTTAATTTCAATGTCTTCTCAATATTGTAACAAAGTTTTAATAATCTTGAATCAACTTAAAATCATGATTAAACTATTAGCAACTTATAACTGATGACTTATATGAACTTAGTAGTTTGTTCACACATGATTTGTACTTGATTTCTTAAAATAAAGATATGTGTGTTCGATTTCAGCATGAATATGCAACCAACCTTAGTGTGAACTTTAGGGGTAAACCGCATTATTTTTATAGCCTAGATGCTACTTGCCTACTTATATATGATATAAAACTATTTATTTCTTTGCCTCCTTTATATATATATATATATATATATATATATATATATATTATATATATATATATATATATATATATATATATATATATATATATATATATATATATATATATATATATATAGGGGACGGTTCACTTCAGATTAAAAAAAAAATAGAGATTTTGAGATTTAAACTCAGCCACATATTTCTCATTTGCCGCTCTAATACTCCAGCGTACCGGCAGCAACGAGATATGCCTAATCATAAATGATTATATGGCAGAGAGGTATAATCATATAGGATTATACATATATGTTTGTTCACAGATTGAGTAATCATAAATTATTATAACAGTTGGTGGCAGAGGAGGCGGTGGTGACAGATGTGGCGGTGGTATAAGTAACGGAGGTGACAGTGGTGGGGTCGGCTGGTGTCAGAGGTAGTGGTAATGGTCGTGGCGGTGGCGGTTATGATGGTGGGGATGGTGGCGGGAGAGAAAGGAACGGGTGGCGCTGTATAATCATTTATGATTATACCAGGTTTGCCGCGCCGGTACGCCGGAGGGTTAGGACGGTAGATGTGAAATACGTGGCTGAGGTTGAATTTCAAGATCTCTATTTTATTTTTAATTTCAATAGAACATATCTCTCTCTCTCTCTCTCTCTCTATATATATATATATATATATATATATATATATATATATATATATATATATATATATATATTGTTGACTTTACCGATTATTTTGATTTACTTTTATGTCTACAATAGTTGATTGCTTTTGTGTTACTTCACACCGATTATTTTCTTTCATATGGACATAGATGATAAAAGATGTTTGTGATTCATAAATTGTTCGGTTGAGATAAAAAAAAAAGTTCCAAATGAATAAATACACAGAGGTCCATTATCCTTTATATTTTATTTGCCATAAACATTTATATTAAATGTATGTATTTGTAATATCATCTTTTCAAATAAATCGCCGTGCTGATTCGGTTCGACAAATATTTTTTTGCTTGTAAGTTATTTATTTTAAGATTTAATCAAATAAGTTAATTATATCCACAAAAATTATTGATAGTTGACATATTAAAATATTAGTAGAATTTCTTCAAATTACCTTAAATAAAAATATATAATTAAACTATTAACAAATATATGTTATAAAAAATAATAATGTCCTCGTCATTAATTATTAAACAATAGTTTTTATATTAAAAATATAAAACATTATAATATTTTAATTATATAATAATATTGTAAATAGATGGTAAGATTAAGATATATATTAAACTATATCATATTAATCGTTTTTACTAACATGTTGTAAATTTAAAAATATTTTTTATTTTTTTTATTTATCATTAATTTTAACAATTGCATTATTTAATTCATTTAGACAATTAAACATCTATACATCATGATTTCTATTTGGGGTTTGTAAAAAATAAAAGAAAGCACAAATTTATTTATTTATTTATTATTTTTAATTATTGTTATGATTAATTATTATAAATATAACTAATTTTACCATCTTTCAATTTTGATAGTGATTATTATATCAAATATTAATCCTTTTTTTCAAGATAACATGATATATTTTCTAAATTTATGTTTTTGTTATTTTGATTTATAAATATTACTTTTCGTGTCTTATGCGTTGTCTATTTTTGATTTTTAAACTTTTGATTTTATAACTTTTACCTTAAATATTTAATATTTGTATTTGTCTTATAAATTACTTGATGAAACTTATAACAATAAAAATACATTTTAAACACAATCCATTCATATATTTTGCATCAAATATTATATATAAAAATATATTTCAGGTCAAAGTTGGAAAATAAAAATTCCAAAAGTCAAAACTAGACAATAAATATGAGACGGAGGAGTAAAAAATAATTGTTTTAGAGATTTTCATTAGTATAAGAGCATACGGTGTGAGTCTCGCGTTTCTCATTATTGCTTACGTGGAGGCTGAAAACGGCGTCACGACGAGGTGCACAACGCCCCCCCCCCCCCCTATCTCGTTGTGGCTTTTCTCGTTGCCGTCTCCACCCGATGAAACGAGAAAAAATCGAACGTTAACCATTTGAAACCGTTTGAATACGGTTATTTTAATAAAAAAAAACTTTAAAAATAATTATTTTTTTCCTATATAAATACCTATTATATCTAAACAATTTTTTAAACACATAACTTCTCTCTTTCTCTCTATAAATCTCAATTATCTTCAAAAAAAAATTATGGATCCTTTCGACTCATCCGATGATTCCGATGACGATATATTCTTCAGGATGATGTATCAGTATTATAGTAACGAGCTACTACAACCAGACCCAGCCCCGCTACTAACAAGACGTGCGATGTTAAACAAAAATCGTGAGGAAGGACACGAGCATCTATATCGCGATTACTTTGCGGATAATTGTGTATACGGGTCGAAGGACTTCAAAATAAGATTTCGTTTGAGTATGAATGTGTTCCTACGGATCGCCAACGCCTTGGAAAGCCGGTATCGCTTCTTTACTATACTTTTATACAAAAAAAAATCTAGTACATGTTTCTTTGATTTTACAACATATACAATATATTTTTAAACTGTAGTTAATATATATTTAGGTATGAATTTTTCCAATTGAGATATGATGCTAGAGGTAGACGAAGGTTTACAACTTTGCAGAAATGTGCTGCGGCCATTCGTTTGATGGCTATGGGGGAGGTACCCGACACCATAGACGACTATATGAGAATGTCCGAAAGAACCGCAAGAGAGAGTGTGTATACATTGTCAAGGGGTGTTGTTGAAACATTTGGAGACATGTATTTGCGGAAACCTTCGTTGCATGATTTGCAAGAATTGTATGCGGCGCATAAAGAACGCCATGGGTTTCCCGGAATGATCGGAAGCATTGATTGCACACACTGGAAATGGAAAAATTGTCCGGTAGCATGGAAAGGGCAATACGCAAGTGGTCATCACGGATCACCTTCGTTGGTTTTAGAGGCTGTTGCTTCTCAAGATTTATGGATTTGGCATGCATTTTTTGGGGTTGCGGGTTCCAACAACGACGTCAACGTTCTTGATCAGTCGCCAATATTCGACGATCTTTTGAATGGAAAGGCCCCGGATGCTCATTTCACGGTGAATGGAAAAGAATACAAATATGGATATTACCTTACAGATGAAATATATCCTCAGTATTCTACATTCGTGAAGGCATTCTGCTACCCGGTTGAAGAACGAGACAAATTTTTTTAAGAGAAGACAAGAAGGAGCACGTAAGGATGTGGAACATGCTTTTGGAGTGCTGAAGGCGAAGTGGCATATAGTTGAACATGCAGTACGACCATTGGATTTAGAAACTCTACGATATATCATGTATGCATGTATCATAATACATAACATGGTAGTAGAAGATAAAGGGCGAAATATAGCACACTATATCCCAACGGAGCCCAGACACGTTCATTTTCAACCTGGAACAACAGAGTATTTGCATCGAGTTGTTGACATTCAGGACGCAAATAAACACAGACAACTTCGAGAGGACTTGGCGGATTATATCTTCTATGGTAACAATAACGATAACGAATAGCGTTGTATTTTTTTTTTTTTTTTGGAATTTGGATGTTATGTGTAGTTTAATTTCTATGTTAATTTTAATCTTTAAAAATTGTTTTTTATTGTATGTTATTTATAATTTTTAAACATTATGTTTTATTTATTATGTTATATTTAAAAAATATTTGTCTAAATTAAAAAAAATCGAAAAAATAAATAAAAAATAAATTATAAAATGGAAAAAAGTTGGTGTTATAACAAGATGCAACATGGTGACCATTTCCCCACTTGGTGTTTATTGTTGATTCTCTCATAAAAAAAAATATTTATATTTTTATCCGATGCTTACAAATTGTTCTTATATTAATGAGTAAATTACAGGAGTAGTCCTTATGGTTTAGGGTAATTTGCGTGTTTGATCCCTAACTTATTTTTTTAATTCGGAAGGTCCCTACTGTTTGTTTTTGTTATTCGTTTGGTCTCTGTCTTACCTAAAAAGACTATTTTGCTATTGATTTTTTGATTTATTTAAATAAACACACCTCCAATCTCACCTCCCTCACCCTATCTTACCTACCCCACCTTTTTTCCCTATTTAAATAATAGTCTTTTTAGGTAAGATAAGGACCCAACGTGTAACAAAAACAAACAGAAGGGACCAAATGCATAACAAAAACAAACTGTATGGACCTTCCGAGTTAAAAAAATAAATTAGAGACCAAACACGCAAATTACCCCAAACCATAGGGACCATTTGTGTAATTTACTCTATATTAATACAATATTTATAATTTTTAAAATAACCTAACCATATACATACTTTTAGGAAAATAAAATTTACCATTCGTGTTCCATTCTTTTTCTTTAACATAAGGAGATTGTTATATGCATCTTAGCTTAGAAAAATTTGCCAGATGTGAAATTATTAAAATTACAATCAAGTTTTGGATTTAATAAATGCAAAATCGATATTATTAAATATAACTAGATTTGATATGTTACAACTAGCTTATAAGCTAATCTATTTTTCAAGCATTTAGATGTCATTTTTAATAAACATATAAATTAATCTTAGAACTAACATTTCTATTAGCTTATTAAGTTTTTTTAATTCTTAAAAATATACCTTTTATCAATTATACAATAAAAAACTGAATCTTTAAAATATCCTTTGTCATTTACATATTTTACCGTAATCTACCAAATAACCTTAGTAAAAGAAAGCGCCACTTTAGCACATTTCCGTGTTAATTTAATATGCATGAGTGGGCGTGTATCAATTGATTTTTGTAAAGCTCTGTAATTAACGAGTAGAAAAATTATTTTAATCTGACCAAATTTGCGTCAGATCGAGTTGGTGACCCACAAGAATTTTGGTCCATTTTTTTTTTTTTTTGAAAATTTTAATAAGTTACATAGAAATATAAACTTACATCATTAAAAATATAACCTTAACTTTAATAAACTAATTTAGAAGATTTCATATGCGTTAATTTATATATACTCTGAGTAACTTTGAGCATGGCCATCTGACCATATTTTATATAACTTCTTAAAATAAAAACTATAGCAAAAATATATCCATAAATAAATGGAACGTCCACGCCTAGGTTTATATTTCGAAGCATGTCACTTACAGTGACCTTTGCAGTGAAATCATCATAACCAGAACCACCTGATGCAAAACTAACACCATGCAACAGGTCTACTTCCATCAGGTTTCGATCCAAATACGCTTTGATTATGTTTCTGTAACCTAAAGCCTCAGCTGCAATCACACAAACAAACAACAAAGCATGATATTCAGCAAATGTACCTACAGTAGAAGGTACCTTCAGCAAGCATCAATGCATGGTGAAATGGCGATTTAACGTGTGCTACAAGTATTCATACATGAAAATTATATTAAAAGTTACCAATGAAATCAGTGCATAGTCTGCCATTGGTGAACCTTCCCGTTGGAAGGGAATGACTAAAATCTTTCCCGTAAGGCAGGAAGTTGCCTTTATGCCATGTGTTTGGAAGATTGTTGTTGTTACCAGGATCGACACTTGAATCACCGAAAACCAGAATGGATGTAACATTGTACTTGGCTGCAAGAACCCTAAGCTTCTGAGTACTCCCCATAGCACGTGCATTGCATGTGACCACAGCCTGGAACAAGAACATCACTATTATTACTAGGTTAAGTGTCACCCATGTTATATGTTTCATTTTCAGTTGTTAAGAAGAAAACAAAGGATTGGAAAAATATTGTGACCGAGATGTGTTCAATGTAGCTATGTCACCATGGTTTTTATAGACATGCCATTTAATATAGGTAGGTTTGGGTATTAAGTAGTAGTCCCTGTCAAAATAAAGCTACGTTTATGATCAACATTATATTTTATCTTAAAACTTAAACATGAAATCGCGGGACCAAGTGAGCTAGGTCATGAGTTGTTTTATAATTAAGCGTATTAATGATATTTTAGAATTAGAAGGACGCACAAATGAGAGCCGGCGAACTATTTTACATATTAGAAATTCAACTCGAATTATTAAATGGTTTACAAAAGAATTAATAGCTCATCTGGTAGTAACAATCATCGCGCAATATATATATATATATATATATATATATATATATATATATATATATATATATATATACACTAGTCGAATGCCCGCATTCTGCGCAGAAACACCCATATAGTTGAAATCTTTATAAATATATGTTTTTTAAATATAACAATAACGTTGTTAAATTTGATATAATAATTCGTATACTAAGTTGATATAATGTATTGATTATTATGAATTAATACATCTATTAAAAGTTAAAACTGCATAATTTCAATCGTTTGAATAACCTCTACCTGCGAGTTACTCATAAATAAAATTAAATATAATATATGGTTTAATGTTATTTATAGTTGTTGTTATTGTTAATTACTTTTTTAATATTTATTTGTTTAACGTTCTAATTTCTATCATTGTAATTATTTAAAACATCAAACATTGTTTTTTGTTTTAAAGGTAACAATATAATAATTTATATAGAGTTATTTTTAACTATTGTTATTATAGGTTATTTTAAGTTACTTATTTGAAAACTTTTAACGATTATAAAAATATCTTTAGGAAATAATTTAGTTAAATTGAGATTACAATTTAGTTTTTGCATTTAGCACAACAATTTATCAATTTTAACTATTCACAAAATATTCTTTGGGTTTTTTAGAAGCAACTGAAATTTATAAAGTCGACCCTGTAATGTTATATTTAAATTAACAATCTAAATATTTTGTCCAAACTGTTCAAAAGTTGTGACTTTAAACTGATAATGGTTTACATACAACAACATATTAAATCTAATAAGTTAAGTATTATATGCTAAAAGTTAAAGACATAACTTTATAAGTAGAAGTAAAGATATTATTTTAATATTGAAATTTAATTTATTTATTATTACACTTTACGTTTGATATTTATTTAACCTTATTAACCGACTTATAATCATTATTAGAAAGACACTGCAATTTATCACTTTTAACTATTTACAAAATATTATGTGGGTTGTTTAAATTGAATTAAAATTTATATTTAAGTTGACCTGTAATGTTATATTTAAATTAACAATTTAACTATTTTATACAAATTGTTCAAAAGTTGTAGCTTTAAAATGATAATGGTTTACATACAACATCATATTAAAACTAATAGATTAAGTATAATATGTTAAAAGTTAAAAAACATAACTTATAAGTAGAAGTAAAAATATTCTTTTAATTTGAAATTTGGTTTTGATATATGATTACACTTTAGGTTTGATATTTATTTAACCTTATTAACCAATTTATAATCATTATTAGAAAGAAATTGAAAAGTCATGGGAGTTTCAAATGAATGTGATGAAAGAAAAAAATGCTTTCTTTATATATATACTAGGTGATTCCCCGCGCGTTGCGCGAGAATAGAATTATATAATTAAATGAATAACGTTTACCAATTAGTATTTTAATTTATCTTCTACTTTGAAACAAAATGTTAGTAGTAAAGCAAACATATAGTTAACATATTAGTTTTATTAAACATTATAGTTTAATTTTAAGCATTGTGATATCTACAATTATTTGATAAATTTTATTAACCGTTTCAAATTGTGTAATTATATATCAAATGAATGCTAATATAACGGGTAACACAAACGTATGAAACAAAAATATGAACTGCATTTTTAGTAACATAAAAATAGAAAACATCTATTATAACATTTGTATTAATATATAATATATATATAGATATATAGATATATAGGAATATATATATATCTATAATATATATATATAACGAATAATAAAAAATATGAAAAATAAAACACTATAACTTGAATAACATAAAAACACATAAACATCTATTATAACATTTATATTAACTCTTCATATTTAAATCACAATCTCTTCAAATACATTATGTTTTTAATGAGAAAAACTTTACAACCTTATAAAAGAAAAGAAAATAAAAAGTTAGTAGTAATTACTAATTAATAATCATAAGTTAAAAACTTTTGAGTTGTAACTAATAAATCTACATAAATTAAAAAATTCAGTGAGTTGTAGTGTGAGTTTCAATGAATGCGGTACTTGGAATGTATTATTATGCTTATTATTCTTATTATTATTATTATTATATTCGTATAAATAATTGGTTTTGATGCATCATTTTAATCCCTTCCTTATTAAACATAAAGATATTAATTATAAATTTATAACATACAGGGTGCATATACATGTTAAACAAATCACATATAATATAATATATATATATCTATATCTATATATATATATATATATATCTATATATATATATATTCGTAAATGTCATATGTAATTCTTGTCGTAGTAATATGGATCAATTACTTTAATATGAAGACATATACTGATAATATATCATAATTACATATCAAATGTTCAAATATATGTTATCTTTCTAATATTGTCTTTTAAATATGTTGTGTAGGATAACCTAACAAAAAAATAATAGAAAGTAAAGATAATCAAAATAGAAAAGCTACAATCAAATAAATAAGAGCATTGGGTGGTTGAATATATAAATAAAGATGTAACATAAACATACATTTAAATCAAAAGAACAAACTAACATTCGTCAACTTTGCTCAAACAAAAAAACCTATATCCATTTTATGAATTTTCTTTCTTCATTTAACACCATTCAACCATAGAAACTTGATGACAATTCTTCACTAACCTGCAATTAAAATATTTTTCTTGAAAAAGAAGAATCAGAAAGATATTCCAAGCAAAACATTGATGTTTGGAGAGTCACATTCAAGATTGAGTAATACACACAAATCACATATAAATATTAAATGAGAAACTGAATATAAAGAAAGAATAGAAAAGTTTCATTTGTTTTGGTTGAAAGAAAAAAATAATATTACAATTACCATCGATGCGACATAACCCATTTCTCGAAATCATCATATTTGGATCGTGAATGCTTCAACTATATGAAAACTTTTGAATCATAATATCTTCAAATCCTTCTTACATTTAAGATTTTATATAACACAAAAGACACAAAAGATTGACCTTTTTAGAGTAAAATTTCACTAAATGCTAATTAAACATAATATAAGTTATAAAACTTTGAGTGTTAAATCATAATTAAGAAAACTTTTGAGCTGCATTAGTTAAAAAAGGGTTTCAAATGAATGTGGTTTTGAGGAGTTAAAAAAGGGGGTTTCAATGCATGAGATTCAAGAAAAAATGCTAGCTTTATAAGTAGGTATGATATATATATATATATATATATATTATATATATATATATATATATATACTAGGTTAACACCCGTGGAGCCCACGGGTGTTAATTTTAAATAGAATCTAAAATTTAATTATGTAATAAAATAATATTTCATTAATTTAGAAAACTTATGAATTGTAATATTGTATTTTTTAATAACTTTTTGCTTTGTAATCATTTAATAAAACACCATTGTATTTTGTCCCATTTTGATTAAAAAAAAAGACCATTTTCCCATTTTTGGTTTGTCTTTTTTACTTAATATCAGTGGTCAATATGAGCCTTACTCAACCAATATTTTTGCCTTGCTTTTTTTGTTGTAAGTTTGTGAATAAAAGACAGAACAACAAAAAAGAAATTAGACAAAATAGAGAAAAAAACATAAAAATAGAATAAGAAAATTATATTGTTAATGATTATAAGTTGTGCAGCGAATAAAAGACTAAAAAATAGAAGGGATAAATTTTTTTTAATAAGTGACCATTATACCACTGCAATATAAACAAATAAGTTTTCCATGTAGTACTTATAATTTTCTACAATATTTACATGATGTTGATTTTTAATCATATCGGCAACCTATTTAAATGTAATCTTTTAGCTTGATAAACAGAAAAAACGCAGCATATCTGATAAATTAAAATGGCGATTATGCCCCTGTAATGTTTTTAATGAAACTTACTCGAAATCAAAATTGACAGCCAATAAATTATTCCTACTAATGATTCATATAATGAAAGTACATAAGTGTAATTCAGAATAGTTGTTTGTTTGGAACAAAAACAATATGACAAAAATCATAAAAAAATAGGAAGGCATTCAAATCAGGTAAAAGTTAATCAGAAATAAATATAACTTGTGTAGGCTTTGTATGTCGTGAGTTATTCCTGCTACTGATTCCAATAAACTATTTTTTTAAAAAAAAAAATACATAACATTCAATCAGATTAAAACGATAATTATGCCCCTGTAATGTTTTTTTTTTAAACTTACTCGAAATCAAAATTGACAGCCAATAAATTATTCCTGCTATTGATTCATATAATGAAAGTACATAAGTGTAATTCGGAATAATTGTGTTTTTTTGGTACCATAGTCAGGAAAATAACATGTTAAAAACACAATATATTATGTTTATAAAAATTATAACAATAAGTGGTTTCGTTAATATTCATTTAGTTAAAGCAATTTGCATCATATATGTTGGGATTAAAAACCCTAATTGTGATTTGATGAACAAGATGCGGAAAATAAGAACAAACACAAATAAAGAAGATATGTCGAATGATCACTCGATTTATTCAAACATGAGGAATAGATTACACTTTCAGAATAGACTAAATAATCTAACTCTACATAAGAAACCTCACAACGTAGCGGCTACATTTTGCGTCACTCTTAACCCTAATTATAAATAATACATGACTATTTATAGGGAAAAGATAAGTCTTGGG